GGCAAAGGCTTCATCTGGGAGTGGTGAGGCTGATTGGGAAACGTGGCACGAGAGGCTGTGTCATGTGAATTTTCCTATGCTACAGAAGTTGGTGAAGGATGGGAGCTTGAAGGGGTTGGAGGTGAATGGGGTAGTGAAGGAGATTGGGAGCTACCCTACTTGCCTTGAGACCAAGTTCACAAAGTTTCCCTTCAGCAGCGGCACGGGACCAGCCAAGTCCCTGCTCGCGTTTGTGCACATGGATGTGGTGGGCCCTACGAGGGCCCCTTCTCTCTCGGGCAGCCGCTACTTCTTAACCATTGTGGATGACCACACACGTGCGGTGTGGGTGTACCCTCTCAAGACTAAGGGGGAAGTGGCAGCGGCTGTTCTTAAGGAGTGGATGCCGAGAGCTCAAAGGGAGAGCGGACACAAGGTGAAGGTGATCCGCACTGACAACGGGGGAGAATTCATTGGCACTGATTTTGAGGCGGTGCTGAAGAAGAAGGGGATCCAGCATCAGCTCACGGTTCCCTACAACCCTCAGCAGAATGGTGTGGCTGAGCGTTTCAACCGGACCCTGCAGGAAGGTGCTCGCACTCTCCTTGGGCGTGCAGGGCTGCCGGATCCGTTTTGGGTGACTGCACTGCGGCAGGTTGCCCTTGTGAAGAACAGGGTGTTGGCGACTGTGGTGGACAAGCAGTGGGTCCCCTACACCAAGTGGTATGGGAGTGCACCAGCAGTCAACATGCTGAGAGCCTACGGCTGCATGGTGGTGTTTCATGTGCCTAAGGAGAAGAGGGGAAAGTTGGAGGCTTCTGGGAGATGGGGAGTACACTTGGGGCTTGCTAAGGATCATAAGGGCTGGTTGATATGGGACTTGACCAGCCAGCAGCTGACTGTGTCAAGGGATGTGAAGTTCCTTGAGTCCTTGTACTACAAGGAGTGGAAGCAGCAGCAGCAGAAGCTTCCTACTACACCGCTGATCATTGAGGCCGATGAGGTGCAGCGGCCTTCGAGGCAAGTGCAGGTCACTGTCTGAGATGACGAGATCTCTGGGGTGACTGAGGATGGGGGAGAAACTGAGGTGGAGGAGCAGCAGCAGCAGCAGCAAGATGCTCCACCACGTACCCAACGTCTGCCAGACCGTCCGAGGAGGGATGTGCGCCCTCCTAACAGGCTGACCTATCCTAGTTTTGGAAAGCCAAAGGTGGTACGGGCTGGGAGTGTGGCTGAGCAGTGTGATGAAGATGAGATAGCACACTGCTAATGGGCAGCCGTCCTTGAGCCCAAGACGCTAACTGAGGCTTTGAGTGGGCCCGATGCTGAGAAGTGGAAGCAGAGTGTGAAGGAGGAGTATGACTCTCTGCTGGAGAATGAAACGTGGGAGTTGTGTGAGCTGCCTCGTGGGAAGAAGGCAATCTATTCGAAGCTGATCTTCAAGCACAAGTATGGACCTGATGGGGAGCTGACCCGCTACAAGTCAAGGCTTGTGGCTAAGGGGTTCCAGCAGACAAAGGGGAAGGACCTTGACGAGATCTTTGCTCCTGTGGGGAAAGGGACTACACTAAGGGTGATGTTGGGAACGGCTGCAAACCGTGGATGGAGGATCAAGCAGATGGACATCACAACTGCTTTCCTCAATGGGATCATCCTAGAGGAGCTGTACATGCTGCAGCCTGAGGGGTTGGATGATAGGAGTGGCAGGGTGTGCAGGCTCAAGAAGGCCATCTATGGCCTGAAGCAGGCTCCTCGCGCATGGTACCACAAGTTGGAGGAGACACTGCTGGCTGGGGGTTTCAAGAAGAGCGAGAGTGATCACAGTTTGTTCCTGCTGCAAGAGAAGGAGCAGTTCCTCATGCTCCTGGTGTATGTGGATGACATCCTTCTCCTCTCTGAGTCATCTGCAATGATTGAGCATGTGGAGGAGATGCTAGAGATGCAGTTCAAGTGCTCGAAAATGGGAGATGTCAAGTATTACCTTGGGATGCATGTGGAGAGAGACCTTGACAAGGGAGTGTTGAGGTTGCCTTAGAGGAAGTACTGTGAGGGGCTGGCTGAGAAGTATGGGCTGCAAGATGGAGGAAAACCAGCCACCCCACTACCTTCAGGTTTCACTGTGGAGCCTTGTGCTGATGAGGAGGTGGTGGGTGAGAGTGACAGGAAGCTGTTTCATTCCATGGTGGGGGCACTCAACTATGCGGCTAACCACACGCGGCCTGACATTGCCTTTGCTACATCCAGGCTTGCAAGTGTGGTCTCACGCCCCAGTCATGAGCAGATAGAAGTGGCCAAGATGTTGGTCCGCTATGTGAGTGCTACAGCATCTGTGGGTTTGGAGTACAGTGCTGTGCGACAGAGGCTGCAGAGGGGTGCAGCTGATTTGAGCAAGGGGGAGATGCTCTTGACTTGCTACACCGAAGCTAGCTTCAACTCTGTAAAGGCGGATGGCACCAGCATTGGAGGCTATGTGTGCCTGTTTGGAGGTGGTGCAGTGAGCTGGCGTAGCAAGAAGCAGAACGAGGTGGGACTGTCCTCGTGTGAGACTGAGTACATGGCCCTTCATCATGGGGTGAAGGAGGTGGTGTGGCTGAGGCGTTTGTTGGAGGAGATCGGAGTGTGCCAGAAGGAGCCGACTGTAATGTTTTGTGACAATGAGTCGGCTGTGAAGCTTGCAAAGAATGCATGCCTTCATGGCCTGACAAAGCACATCAGGCCAAAGTGGCACTGGGTGAGGAGGCTCCTGGACAAGGAGGTGCGGCTGGAGATTGTGAAGACCCATCAGCAGGCGGCAGACATTCTCACCAAGCGCCTGGCTAAAAATGAGCATTGGAAGGGGATGAAACTTGCTGGGATGAGTGTGCATTGAGGGTGCATGCTTGTGCTATGGCATATGGGATGATGGTAGGCAGCCAGAGGGGGAGTTCTTTATGTGATGCTATCATTTGCATTCACGTCTGTCTGCCTCCCATCATATGTTCGTGTGTTGCATGCGTGGTGTGAGCGTGTGCAAGAATTTGTGTTTGGTGTTGTTGGGATTTTCTGAATGTGTGTGTGAATGTTATTTGGCTTGAGTAGATGCCTGAAGTGACTCCTCTGCTCAAGAGCTTCCCGACGAACCGAGAATCGCCTTGATCGGAGCAAGAACGAGAAAGATATGATCGTTCGAAGTTTTAATTGAGATGTGGCGACTATAGGAATTTGCGGGTTGACTCAATATGGGGTACAGACTTTTGGGGGTTGGGAATTTCGTCACCATCACGAGCTTGTCGAGCGGTCATGTGGTGTCAACGTGGTGAAAAACCGCTGGGAGCTAATGATGAAGTACCACGTCGATGACACGATCGCTTGTGAAAAGGCCTGCCTGGTCGCGAAGGGCTTTACACAGGTCTACAATGTTGACCACGACGAGACATACGCGCTGGTCGGGAGCTACGTCACGCTGCAGATCTTCCTCAGCATCGTTAGTGTCCTTGATCTGCACCTGATGCAACTCGACATGAAGAATGCTTTCCTGCAGAGCAAGCTGGATCGCGTGCTCTACATGTACCAGTGTCAGAATGTATTTGCTGTTTAGCCTGCAGTGGGGTACTCTGTAGTGAGTACAACCCAATTTAGGGTTTGCTATTTGTATCCCAACTTCCTATAGTGAAACAATCTCTTTCTCGATTCTCCCTTGCACAATCTCTCTCGACACTCAACTCTCTCGACACTCACCATCCATGGCTCCTAAATCTAGCTACTATTCTAACATGGTATTAAGAGCAATAAGTTCTAGGACCTAACATCAATGGGCCCACCACCTAATGTCCTGCTAGCCTAGGCCCCGGCCCGTCGCCACTTGGCGTAGCCCCTAGCCCCTAGGCTCGGCCCCTTGGCCCCGTCGCCCCTAGCCCAGCGCACGGCCCCGTTGGCCCCGTCACCCCTAGCCGCGCCCCTCGGCCCCGCTGGCCCCGTCGACTCCGTCGCCCTGCGCCCGGCCCGTACTTAGCCCGCGATCGGCCCGTACCTAGCCCGAGCTCGGCCCCGTTCCTAGCCCCGCGCCCGGCCCGTACCTCGCCCGCGCTTGGCCCCGTACCTAGCCCGCGATCGGCCCGTACCTAGCCTCGCGCCCGGCCCCGTACCTAGCCCGCGCCTGGCCCCGTACCTAGCCCGCGATCGGCCCGTACCTAGCCTCGCGCTCGGCCTCCGTTCCGCGCCCAACGCCCGGCCCGTACCTAGCTCCGCGACCAGCCCGTACCCTGCCCGCGCTCGGCCCCGTTCTTAGCCAGCGCCTGGCCCTGTACCTCGCCCGCGCCCGGCCACGTACCCTGCCCGCGCCCGGCCCCGTCTCTCGCCCGCGCTCGGTCCGTACCTAGCCCCGCGCCCGGCCCGTACCTAGCCCAGCGCACGGCCCCGACCCTAGCCAGCGCCCGGCCCCATACCTAGCCCTCACCCGGCCCCGTACCTGCCCAGCGCCCGGCCCCGTACCTGCCCAGCACCCGGCCCCATCCCTAGCCCAGCGCCCGGCCCCGTACCTAGCCGCGCCCCTCGGCCCCACTGGCCTCGTCGCCCCTAGCTATGGCAAGAGGGGTGATGAATTCCTGCCCGCGTGCCCTGCAGTCGCACGCGCAGCTCCGCCCCCGCCCCCCTCTCTCCCCTCCCCCTCCTCCATGGGGACGGGGGGGAGAGGGTGTGAGGGGGTGGCGGATGTGCCTCAGCAGCAGCAGCTGCCGCCGCGCCTCCTCCTCTCTCTCTCCCTGCCGCACCTTGTGTTGGGAGAGGGGGGGGAGCTTGGAGGTTCAGAGGGAGGCAGGAGGGGATCTGCAGCACCAGCCCCCCCCGCCCCCCCCCTTTCTCCTCCACCCCTGCTGCGGGTGCAGCAGTGGGGGGGAGGGGATCTGCAGCAGCACTGGGGGGAGGGGATTTGCAGCATCAGCCCCCCCCCCCCCCCCCCCCCCCCCCCCCTCCCCCCCCCGCCCTTTTCTCCTCTCTCTCTCCCTGCCGCACCCTGTGTTGGGAGGGGGGGGGAGCTTGGAGGTTCAGAGGGAGGCAGGAGGGGATCTGCAGCACCAGCCCCCCCCGCCCCCCTCCTTTCTCCTCCACCCCTGCTGCGGGTGCAGCAGTGGGGGGGAGGGGATCTGCAGCAGCAGTGGGGGGAGGGGATTTGCAGCATCAGCCCCCCCCCCCTTTTTCTCCTCTCTCTCTCCCTGCCGCACCCTGTGTTGGGAGGGGGGGGGAGCTTGGAGGTTCAGAGGGAGGCAGGAGGGGATCTGCAGCACCAGCCCCCCCCGCCCCCCCCCCCCTTTCTCCTCCACCCCTGCTGCTTGTGCAGCAGTGGGGGGAGGGGATTTGCAGCATCACCCCCCCCCCCCGCCCTTTTCTCCTCTCTCTCTCTCCCTGCCACACCCTGTGTTGGGAGCTTGGAGGTTCAGGGGGAGGCAGGAGGGGATCTGCAGCACCAGCCCCCCCCAGCCCCCCCCCCCCCCACTTCTCCATCCCCCTGCTGCGGGTGCAGCAGTGGGGGGGAGGGGAGTTGCAGCATCAGCCCCCCCCCCCCCCCCCACTTCTCCTCCATCCCCCTGCTGCGGGTGCAGCGGTGGGGGGGAGGGGATCTGCAGCCCTGTGCTGCCCTGCAGCCCTGCGCGCCCTGCGCGCCCTGCTGTCCTGCTGCCCTGCGCGCCCTGCGCACACTGCAGCCCTGCGCGCCCTGCTGCCCTGCAGCCCTGTGTGCCCTGCAGCCCTGTGCGCCCTGCTGCCCTGTTTGCCCCTCGCGCCCTGCTGTCCTGCTGCCCTGCGCGCCATGCGCGCCCTGCAGCCCTGCGCGCCCCGCGCGCCCTGCTGCCCTGCAGCCCTGTGCGCCCTGCTGCCCTGCAGCCCTGTGCGTCCTGCTGCCCTGCTGCTGCCGCTACAGCCCTTGCTGTTGCCGCTACAGCCCTTGCTGCTGCCCTGCGCACCCCGCGCGTCCTGCAGCCCTGCTGCGCCCCGCGCGCCCTGCTGCCCTGTGCGCCCCGCGCGTCCTGCAGCCCTGTGCGCCCTGCTGTCCTGCTGCCCTGCGCGCCCTGCGCGCACTGCAGCCCTGCGCGCCCTGCTGCCCTGCAGCCCTGTGCGCCCTGCTGCCCTGCAGCCCTGTGCGCCCTGCTGCCCTGTTTGCCCCGCGCGCCCTGCTGCCCTGCAGCCCTGTGCGCCCTGCTGCCCTGCTGCCCTGTGCGCCCCGCGTGCCCTGCAGCCCTGTGCGCCCCGTGCGCCCTGCAGCCCTGCGCGCCCCGCGCGCCCTGCTGCCCTGCAGCCCTGTGCGCCCTGCTGCCCTGCAGCCCTGTGCGCCCTGCTGCCCTGCTGCTGCCGCTACAGCCCTTGCTGTTGCCGCTACAGCCCTTGCTGCTGCCCTGCGCGCCCCGCGCGCCCTGCAGCCCTGCTGCGCCCCGTGCGCCCTGCAGCCCTGCGCGCCCTGCTGTCCTGCTGCCCTGCGCGCCCTGCGTGCACTGCAGCCCTGCTTGCCCCGCGCGCCCTGCTGCCCTGCAGCCCTGTGCGCCCTGCTGCCCTGCAGCCCTGTGCGCCCTGCTGCCCTGTTTGCCCCGCGCGCCCTTCTGCCCTGCAGCCCTGTGCGCCCTGCTGCCCTGCTGCCCTGTGCGCCCTGCTGCCCTGTGCGCCCCGTGCACCCTGCTGCCCTCTGCACGCGCCATGCACAGCCCCCCCCCCCCCCCCCCCCCCCTTTCTCCTCCATCCCCTGCTGCAGGTGCAGCAGTGGGGGGAGGGTATGGGGGTGGCGGGTGTGTGAACCGTCCCCTGCTCCTCCTCCTCCTCCGTCTCCCACTGCTGCAGCTGCCGCTGAGGGAGGTGGGTGTGTGGGAGCCGAGGGAGTGGTGCTAGGGGGGTGACGTGGGAGTGGAGCTAGGGGTGCAGCAAGGGGTGTGTGAAAGGGGGGTGGGACAGTTGGGGGAGGTTGAGCGGAGGCTGCCGTCTTGTCGTCCGCAGCACCTGTAGTCTGGGGCTCTGCTTCTGGTAGCTCAGAGAGCCTGCTGCGCCTGTCGCCTGTGGGTCCGTTGCTCCTGCCGCTCAGAGTTACCCGCAGAGCCAGTTACTCCTGTAGTCCGGGGATATGGCCCCGGTAGCCACAGTGCGCGCCGCTCCTGTTGCCCGTATGTCTGCAGCATCAGCCGTCGCCTCCTATCTCCTCTCCTCTCACAGTCCAGCCTCCTCCTCCTCACTTCTCCTTTGTGAATGCCTCTAGCTTTGCTTGTACTTGTGAACCTGCTCTATGACTGCTTGCTCTGCTGATTATACCCCACTTTGACTATGGGGGTGTGTCAGAATGTATTTGCTGTTTAGCCTGCAGTGGGGTACAATGTAGTGAGTACAACCCAATTTAGGGTTTGCTATTTGTATCCCAACTTCCTATAGTGAAACCATCTCTTTCTCGATTCTCCCTTGCACAATCTCTCTTGACACTCAAGTCTCTCGACACTCACCATCCATGGCTCCTAAATCTAGCTACTATTCTAACAACCAGCTCCACTACTACAACGATGGCTCCGGAAGCGTATGCAAGCTGCTGAAGAGGTTGTAAGACCTTAAGAAGAGCCCGCTGTTGTGGTACTCGGCGCTCAACGCGGTGTTGACCGGCGCTGGATGGAGCAAGAGCCAAGTCGACGAGGCTCTCTACTTCAAGCTCCGCGATGACTGTGTAGCATGCTGGGTGCTCATCTACGTCGATGACCTGCATGCCGCCAGCAACAGCCTTTCGATGCTGAAGGAGTTGCGTGAGCTGCTTGAGAACACCTTTGAGCTGCGCAAGATTAGCCCACTCGAGAAGTACTTGGGGCTGGAGATCGTACGTGACCGACCTACAAGGAGGCTGTGGCTCCACTAGCTATCTTATGTCGACAAGCTGCGCAAGAGTTTCATCGACGAGGAGAAGACTGGTCGGCGTCCCAAGATGCCGGTCTCCGTCGACGCCTACGCCGACCTAATGTTCGACGACGCCGATTTTCAGTCGCGCGAGGAAGAGGAGTACTGACAGAAGGTTGGCTCACTGCAGTTTGCCACCAGGACAAATTGGCCCAACATCGCCTTCGAGTGTAGCAAGCTGGGGCACCGGCTTGACGGTGAAGAGCGACCAGCACTAGCGTGAGGTCGACCGCTGCCTTGCCTACCTCGCCGACACGCATGTCGCCTTGGATTTTGGTGGCGGACCTGATTCACTTTGTCTGGTCAACTACGCGAACGTCGTTGACTAGCAAACGCGCAGTAGCACGAACGGCGGCGCCGATTGTCAGAATACTGAACGAGAATGAATGAACTAGCAAAGAGTTGGGTACAAGTACTAATCCTAATTGGGTTGTACCCCTTATGGGCTACCCCACTACAGCCTACACAATGTAAGCTAGATATGAGTTTGATGTCAGAATATTATGTTTTGTCTAGCCTGCAGTGGGGTACTCAATAGTGAGTACAGCCCAATTTAGGGTTTGCTATATGTACTCAACTGCTTGCTAGTGAAACCTCTCTTTCTCTCTTTCTCATTTCTAACTTCTTGATTCTAACATGGAACACCAGTGTCTCCTAGACGAGCCAGCGCATCGAGTGCGTGACTTTGTCGTCGACGGAGTCGAAGAACATCGCGACCACGGAAGCCAGCAAGGAGGCTTGTAGCCTTCGTTTCCTCCTAGTAGAGTTCCAGCAGCCGAACGTCGGGACTCTGACTTTCCTCAGTGTGGACAACCACTCGGCCATTGCGGTCGCTGAAGGCTAAGGGCTTAATGGCAACCTCAAGCACATGGAGCGACGCTACGTCTGGCTGCAACAGATGGTGAAGCACACGAAGATTGCACTACAGTACATTCCGACCACTGCTCAGCCGGCCGACTTCCTCACGAAGGCGCTGTACACTCTGGCCTTCAACCAGTGCTCCATTGCGACCGGCCAAGTCAATTTGGCCGACATCGGAGACGGCGACGACGACGTGCACCAGCAGGCACCATGTTCTTCTACATAGATGGTGCTGTGACTGGCGTACTAGGTGTGCACGTCGACGAAATCACCCTTATATTCTGTTACGTAGGTTCTGGGTGGACCATGCGTGAGTGCGTGGGTGCCCAAACTTGAGCTGGGCAAGGGAGTGTTGACGAGAAATTAGCCCCGCCCTCGCTTGGGTGAAGCCGAATTCGCAGTCGGGTGCGTTGCAAATGCAGCCGGCTGCTGCCAGTGGTCGACGCCAACCTTGGGAAGGAAGATGACAGGGTTGGTCAATTTCAGCGGCACCACTACGTTGTCATCGACTAGATGATGTCAGTGGACGGCTTTGGCGTGGCCGATCGACGAAGGAGTTCATCGAACTGCGGGCGTCAATCGGCTGTCAAGTCGACACCGACTTCGTGGCCGGCCAAGTCGACACTGTCAACCGGCCGACCAAGCTCAGCGGGGGTGCTCGAATGTCGTCGACAGGTGGTTTTGGTCAGGCCAACCTACGGGTTGAGAAGCACATGGTTGACGTGGTGCATCTGGTGCAACCGTCGACCTGAGCATCGCAATGTGCCTGACGGTGCGCGTATGTGAGTGCGTGGAAACCTGCGGCTGCATCGTTAGCAGGCTGCTTTGCTGCTGTATCGGCAAGCCGCCTTGGTGCATTGGCAAGCCGCCTTGGTGCGTTGGCAAGCCGCCTTCCAGCTGCATTGGCATGCCGTCATCTTGCGGCATTGGCAAGCCGCCTTGTGCTGCGATGTAGTGCTCCTGCCAAACCTTTGTGTATCATTGTCCTCGAATTTTGCTAGTAAAACTCTTGTCAAATTTCTCCGTGAACACACAAACCTGCACAAGTGCCAGAGAACGCTACGATCACTCATACCACCTGTAACCTCCCACATAGTCCACTCCCCAATGTAGAGTGACTCTCCGCAACTTGGTTGAACGTCAAATGGCTACAGTCCCTTCCTTACCAGAATGAATATTAGGGTGGGACACTCTAAGTTATCATGCGCAAGTTGCTTATGCAAGCATGACTGCCAGCGCACGAATGGCCTTACGGGATGAACCGTGCAGTGATGTTTCCGAGCTTTCTGACAAATAACTTTTCGGCATGAAAAAAATGGACAAGGAAGCTGGACACAAAACTCTTACAGTTGCATTGTACAGTACTGACCACCGAATTTTCTTAAAGGGCAAAATGGGGAATACACCTCGGCACCAAGAACCAATCCACAACTTGAAAAATATTGGATGTAGAGGACAAAGTGGAAATTCTGGCACAGGGTTGTCAGAATGTTATGTTTGTCTAGCCTGCAGTGGGGTACTCAATAGTGAGTACAGCCCAATCTAGGGTTTGCTATATGTACTCAACTGCTTGCTAGTGCAATCCCTCTTTCATTTCTAACTTCCAACTGTTATTCTAACATGGAATCAGAGCAGGTCGACCCCCTTGGGTCGATCCTGTGGATGGGCCCACCCAAGCTTCCGCTGTCAATACTGCCTATCGCGCGCCCGAGGCGCGCGCTATCTTTCTGCCTGCCGCGCGCCCATGGCGCGCGGCCTTTTTTCTTCCCGCCGCGCGCTATGGGCGCGCGGCGGTTTTCTGCTCGTCGCGCCGCCCTAGGGGCAGCGCGACGCCCTGCTTTACCCGTCGTGCGCCCCGTGGCGCGCGACGGTGCCCTGCCCGTCGCGCGCCTCGGGGTGCACGGCGGTTTTGTCGCCCGGGGGGCCCGTGCGCCCCCCCCCCCTCGTCGCCCGTCGCGGCGCCAACGGGGGCCCGCGCGGCCCCCCCCCTCGTCGCCCGTCGCGGCGCCAACGGGGGCCCGCGCGGCCCCCCCCCCCTCGTCGCCCGTCGCGGCGCCAACGGGGGCCGCGCGCGGCCCCCCCCCCCCCCCCCAGGTCGCCTCGACAGGCGACGGGAGGGGCGACAGAAGGGGGCCACGCGTCGGCCCCTCCCGTCTTCGTCGCGATCCTGCCCCGGCCCTGTACCGGCTCCCCCCCGCCCCCCCCCCCCCCCCCCCCCCTCCTTCGTAACCTCCCTACCCGCCATCTCCGGCCCTGCCCTGTGTTAGGGTTTGGGGGTGGCGAGTGGGGGGTGGCGGGTGTGTGGCATCCCCTGCTCCTCCTCCTACTCCGTCTCCCACTGCTGCAGCTGCCGCTGAGGGGGGTGGGTATGTGGGAGACGACGGGTTGATACTATGGGGGTGTGTCGTGAGAGTGAAACTAGGGGTGCAGCGGGGGGTGTGTGACAGGTGGGGGTGCGACAGTGGGGGAGGTTGAAGGGAGGTAGCCGTCTTGTCGTCAGCAGCGCCAGTAGTCCGGAGGTGCGCTTCCGGTAGCCCAGTGATGCCGCTCCGCCAGTCGCCCGTGGGTCCGTTGCTCCTGCCGCTCGTCTTAGCCGCGGAGCCAGTTACTCCTGTAGTCCGGAGGTGCGCCTTCGGTAGCCACAGTGCGCGCCGCTCCTGTTGCCCGTGTGTCTGCAGCTTCAGCCGTTGCCTCCTCTCTCCTTTCCTATCAGTTCAGCCTCCTCCTCCTCACTTGCCCCCTGTGATAGCCTCTAGCTTTACTTATTGCTGTGAACTATAAACTGTCACTTCTTGTACTTGTGCTCAGAATGTGTGGTGACATTGTGATCCACCCTGAGTTTGTCTTTGCTTTACTTTGCTTGTTGTGCTGATTACACCCCACTTTGGCTATGGGGGTGTGTCAGAATGTTATG